GCCGGTCACCGAGAGCTGTGTGGGCGCGATCGGGCACCAGCTGTTCCAGGCCCCTCGGGGGGGGCCCCTGCCAGGCATTCGGCGTCTCGAGGAAGTCAAGGCTGAGGCAGTTGTTACTTCTCGGTCGCTGTGGTCCAGGGCCCCAGGAATGCAACGCAGAGCGCCCAGGATGAGGATCCGGCTCGGGGCAAAGGGTCGGGGACTTCCGCGGGTCCCGAGGTGACAACAGCTCAAGACGTCGGGTCTCTGGGGTTGGCGGCGCGCACCAGGGGTTGGCGCGAGGGCTTCGGCCTTCTGAGCAGGCGGAAGGGCCTGCGGGCTTCTGCGAGGGCTTCTTATAATTTGAGGCTGGGGGGTGAGGTGGGAGGGCACCTGCGTTCTGGGAAGTTTCTCCCGCCATTTTGGAAGACCCCCCTGCCTGACTCCAGATCCGCCGGACTGCGGTTGGATTTTCCTCCAGAGGCTTGTTTTGGATACGTACCCCAGAGCATGCGAGCAAGTAGGGCCGACATTTCCGCATCAGAAAAGTAGGACGGATATTTCCGCAAGCGTATGCCGGAGACAGCGACGGCAAAGTAGGTCGGAAATTTCCGCCCTACTTGCGAAATCGTCCGAGGTACCCTGAAGGCCTCCAGAGGCCTCCAGAGACCTCCAGAGACCTCCAGACGTCGGGCTGCTACGTTTTCCTTTTTTCTCAGGTTTTTTGGGGTACAGAGAGGTGCCGATACCGCTACGAGACCGCGCCCGGGTTTCGCTCCGACCAGAACTTCGAGGAGATTCCAGCCGTGGCGGCGAGGGCTCTCCGGGGCGAGCAGCCGTATCGGCCTTTTTCTTCGACGTTCTCGGACCCCGGTGGCGAAGTGCACGGGGCGAAAAAGGCAGTCGAGACGTCGAGGCCTCTGGGGGCCCATCCGAAGGCAGGCCCCCCGTCGCGCTCCCCGGCGAGGTGACAGACTTTTGAGCTGCTGCTGGTGAGGCCACCGAATTCTCCCTGAGCTCGAAGGACTCTGGTAAAGGCGGCGGCGTTGCTGCCGGATCGTCGTTTACGGAGAACCTCCAAGGTGCGAGTTCTCCAGAAATCTCAGGATGCACTCCTGACAAGAAGTTTGCCCCCCCCCCCCCCCCCCCCCCACGCACCACCCCCTGGTGCGCGCTGCCAGGGAGGGCAGGAGCACGCGGGGGCGCAGCACGGAGGCCGGGGCTGCTTGCAGAGGGCGCCCGGGAGAGGGCACCAAGGCTCTTCCGACAGGGGCTCCTGCTCCTCCTCCTCTCCTCCTTTTCCTTCTCCTCCTCTCGTCGTCGTCGTCCTCCTCCTCCTCCTCCTCCCTCCTCCCTCCTCCCTCCTCCTCCTTCTCCTCCTCCTCCTCCTCCTCCTCCTCCTCCGCCTCCTCCTTCTCCGCCTCTCCTCCCTCCTCCCTCTCCCTCTCACTCCTCCCTCCTCCCCCTCTCCTCCCTCCTCCTCCTCCCTCCTCCCTACCTCCTCCCTCCTCCCTCCTCCCTCCTTCCTCCTCCCTTCTCCCTCCCTCCCTCCCTTCCTCCCTCCTCCTTCTCCTCCTCCTCCTTGCTCCTCCTCCTCCTCCTCCTCTCCTCGTCCTTCTCTTCCTCCTGCATGACACTTTTGGTCAGCAGCGAGGGCGAGCCGGCGGGCAGCGCGTGAATTGGGGCACAGAGGGCAGCTATAGGGAGAAGAGGAGGGCATCCGAGGAGGAGGAGGAGGAGGAGGACGAGGAGGAGGAGGAGGAGGACGAGGAGGAGGATGAGGAGGAGGAGGAGAAGGAGGAGGAGGAGGATGAGGAGCGCGGAAGGAGGCCTCGGGCGCAGAGAATCGTCGTCACGAGGAGTGCGCAAGTGGCCTCAGGCACTGGAAGCTGGTGTGCAAAGTATGGAAGGCGTGCGGCCATGAGCCATGAGGCATGACACGAGGTCACTCGTGATTTTGCAGGGCCTGCCAGCTGGTCAGGCCGGCTGTAGTCGTCGCAGTTTCCGCGTAGTCATGGCATCTCGCGGCCACGTGTGGTATAGCCGCCGCAGGCAGGGAGCTGGGCTTGACTGCCGTAAGCAGGGCGTAGCTTCAAATGCCTTGAGCAGGGCGCGCGTACGTGCTGACGAGTAGGAGTAGAATCGGACCTCTAAGAAGCGGGTGGCGAGGAAAAGAGGAAGGAGGGAGGCAAGAAGGAACGGCAAGGGCGTGGTGACGCAGGGCGCTCCAAAGTAAGGGGGCCTTGTCGTCGACGAAGCGATACGCTTTCGAGGGTGCCAACTGTACACCTACACCGATCCTGGCCAGGCGCATCCGGCACCTATATGGTCGAGGGTTTTGGCCCCCCCCCCCCCCCCCTCCAAATGCTAATGCCATCGGCCCCCCCCCCCCCCCCGCGCGATGCCCCCCCCCCCCTGTGGGCGTGGGCGTGGCGTGATGGCTCCCCCCCCCTGTGGATGTGGTGTGGATGTGGTGTGGGTGTGGAGTGTTGCTGTGGGTGTGTGCGGGGTGACGCCATGGTCCTCCGGCGTGGGCGTGGCGTGGTGGCTCCCCCCCCCCTGTGGATGTGGTGTGGGTGTGGAGTGTTGCTGTGGGTGTGTGCGGGGTGACGCCATGGTCCTCCTCTGTGGGTGCGGTGTGGGTGCGGTATTGGCGTCATGTTGACAGCTCTGGTGCTCGACGTCGTCGCCGCCGCCGCTGGTGGTGCCGTCGACGTCGTCGTTGTCGTCGTCGTCGTTGTCGTCGTCGTTGTTGTCGGTGTCGTCGTCGTCGTCGTCGTCGTCGTCGTCGTCGTCGTCGTCGTCATTGCCCTCGTCGTCGTCGTCCTCCTCCTCCTCCTCCTCCTCCTCCTCCGCCCCGCGACCCATCCGCGACCCACCCCGCGACCTACCCGCGACACACCCGCGACACACCCCGCGACCCACCCGCGACCCACCCGCGACCCACCCCGTGACCCGCCCGCGACCCACCCGCGACCCACTCGCGAGCCACCCGCGACCCACCCGCGACCCACCCCGCGACCCACCCGCGACCCACCCGCGACCCACCCGCGACCCACCCCGCGATCCACCCACATTACTTTGACGAAAAAATCGGCGCCTGCGGCGGGCTCACTGCCTAATTTGTAATAGTTCGGCGCCTGCGGAGGGCTTCATCAGAGCCTCGCAGACTGGGACGACGCCACACAACAACAACACCAACACCAACAACAGCAGCAACAACAACAGCAACAGCAACAATCATTCTAACACTGTTCGCTCTTACTTGCCCGCGTGTCATTCAAAACGAGTTCCCCACACCCTCGATACCCGCCCTTTTTGTCATCGATCCCCCCCTTTTTGGGGATTCTTTTTCTTTGCGGGGGGCGGCGGGCTTAGACAGGCGGGCAAACCTGAACGGGCGGACAATCCTTCGTGGGCGTACATGTGCCCGCCATTGGAGTTGGTGTGGGCCCTGCAAAAAGAGGAGGGGGAGAACGAGGGAGAGTGGGAGGAAGGGAGGGGGAGGGACGAAGGAAGAGGGAAACCGCCAGGAGAGAAGGAGCGGAGAGGGGGGCGGTTGATTAGAGGCAGACAGAGAGAGAGAGAGAGAGAGACAGAGAGAGAGAGAGATAAAAAGAGAAAGACAGATGAGAGAGGTAGAGAAAGAGAGCGAGAGAGAGAGAGAGAGAGAGGGGAGAGAGAGAGAGAGAGAGAGAGAGAAAGAGAGAGATAGAGAGAAAGAAAGAGGGAGGGAGGAGGCAGGAGAGGGGAGGGAGAAGGGAGGAGGGAGAGGAGGGAAAGGGGATAGGGCATAGAGGCATGAGGATGAGGGAAGAGAGGAGGGAGAGAGAAGTGAGGAGAGGAGGGAGGAGGGAGGATGGAAAGGGAGGAGGAGCAGGAAGGTAAGAGCGTGAACGTTCGAGGAAGTCCTAGGCGAAAGCGCCGTTCCTGAAGGAAGTCTCGGGCGGGAGCCCACGACGGGCGGGCGACCCCCTGACGGCCGGGTCGGGCGGGTGGGACATTCAAGCTGGATGCCTGAGTATGGCGAAAGCGCGATTGCTAAGTAATTTGTAACGGCGTTTTTGGCGCAGCGTGTTTCCTGAGCGTCAGAAGTGCGATTTCTGAAGACATTGCATGGAAGTCACAGGCGAGAGCGCAATTCCTGAAAAAAATTGAAGGGTTTCTGGCGGGAGCGGGGGTCTTGATTAAGTTGCGAGGAAGTCTTGATTCAGTTGCGAGGAAATCTCAAGCGGGAGCGCCGTTTCTCAGTGAGTTGTGAGGAAGTCTCAGATGGGAGCGGGGGTCCTGATTAAATTGCGATGAAATTACAGGCGGGAGCACCGATCCTGAGTAAATTGTGAGGAAGTGTCAGGAGCGGGGGTCCTGAGTAAATTTGGAGGAAGCCTCAGGCGGGAGCCGTTGTTGTTGCAATCCGGGGGGCCACGGGCCCAGTTTGAGCACAAAGATTTTCCCTGCCCCAAAAACAGGATGCGAGCGTCGAGGGGCACACTTTGATTGAGAAAAAGCAGTATGCACCGGTCAGGGGGGATCAGCAAAAATTATTCTTCAGCAGTGAGAGTTCAACAACAAGAGCAACAACATCAACAACACCAACAACAACACCAACAACACCAACAACACCACCAACAACAGCAACAACACCAACAGCAACACCACCACCAACAACAACACCAACAACAACACCACCAATAACAACAGCAACACCAACCACAACATCAACAACAACAACTACTACAACAACAACAGCAACACCAACAACAGCAGCAACAACAACAACAGCAGCATCAGTTACAGCAACAGCAACGGCAGCAGCAACAACAAGAGCAACACCAACAACAAAACCACCAGCAGTAGTAACGCCAACTCCAACAACAACAATAACACCACCAACAACAGCACCAGCAACAACAACAACGGCAACACCAACAATCACAACAACGATACCAACAACAACAGCAACAACCACACCAACAGCAACACTAACAACCGCAACAGCAATAACAACAACAACAGCAACAAGCATCAAGCCACAGACAACAAGCACCAAACAACAACAGCAGCAGCAGCAAGAATAATCCACATCGCGGAATCCCACTTCGGCCACGCACCCAGGGACAGTGAGTGACCGCTCGGCCCCCTCGCTCTGACGTGCCGATTTTCGGGCCCGGGATCGGCCTCGCCAGGGGTCGGTGCAGGCGTACAGTTTTGGCTGCTCTCTGGAAGTAGACCCCTCGCCCGCGGCAGAGGGCCCGCGGAGGGCCTGCGCTGGCAGGCGGGGCTCGAACGAGGGCGGCACCGCTGGCGGAGAGTCGGCAGAGCGGAGACGGATCACCTCAGAACGTGGCAGAAGAACTGGTGATTGACTCCCACCAGAAAGCCGAAAAGGGAAAAGCTGCTTATGGAGAGATGGCTGATGCTGCGAGGCGGGAAGGAGAGATAGAGGCCCGAGAAAAGGCAGCACGGGAAGATCAGGAGCTCCGAAATCAGCTCGAAACTGCGAGACTTAAGGCCGAACGGGTGAAGTCAGAAGCGTTGCGAGCCCTTAGATGCCGATCTTGGCCATGGTCCATGTCGGCCGTCGCCGATTCGCGATGATGATCTACGCACTGACGCTGACCAAGATCGACGGGGACCACGATCGGAGCGAAGTTTCCTCGTTCAGTCTTGGTCATGGTCCCCGTTTTCTTTCCCTCCACCGACGGCCATCACGGGGGTCGGGGGATGGGTGGGAAGGAGCGGTCCTGGGCGGTGTGTTTGCATCGCTCGGCGAGGGCCTAGCTCCTGGGGGCACCTTGGGGCGTAAATCCGGCGCGCGCAGCTTCGAGCTTCGGGTGGGATGCCAAATGGACCAAGGGACTTGCATTGGGGAGCTTGAACGTCGACCCGAGCGAAGGAGAGCTCGATGAAGACGCACTACGCGTCAAAGTAGAACGCAGAGCGTATTTCTTCCAGCACCAATGAGAGCGAAGGGTTGTGAAAAGCAGCTCGCGCAATCTATGACAACCCACGCGAGCAAAGCGCAAACCGCATTGGCTGGAGTGCGCGGGCATTTCGGCACTGCCTGGCTGTCAGGGCATGCCAGTGGGTTGGCAGACGGCTCGGGGTGCTTCAGCTAGATGCGTCAATACATTTGCACGCACATCTTGATTGTACTGGTTTTAGTACGGGTGAAGCTGCTCACACCGTGGAAGCACGTGCATGTGGGAGCGTGTCCGAGATCACCCCTTCTGCTCAAAGGGTGCTGCGGGCTGTAGATATTCCGCTGCCACGTGCGTTTTGATGGCACCCCAACGCGTAACAGGCACCACGCCAACCAGGTCTTCATCATCCCCATGAGCCTGGGCTTGGCGAATGTATCCCCGTCAGGAATCCATGCTGCTGCTTGGACGTCCGCTGGCGGTCGTGTGGGTTTTACAGCGCCGTGGAAGCCCGTGCTTGAGCTCTCCAGCCCAGAGCGGCCGATGACCGGCCCCGTTCAACCCCGTCGGGGCGCGCGCCCTTTGCGAGGATGAGGGGGGTGCCCAATCGGCTGCAAGCGGGTACGGTTGGACCGAGGCGTCAAATCGAGGTCTGTTCGGGGAGGGTGCCCTCATGTTCTTCGTGTTTGTCGGAGTGTTCTTGTGCATCCTGGGGCAGGTACCCTCGACTCGAAGGTTCTTCAGTTTGTCTGGTGGAGGGTCTCAGGCTCTTGAGGGATGCTCTTCTGTCCTAGGTCCAGAGCCGTAAGTCACGCAAGGTTCGCCCGTCGTTCGTCCGCCGCACGGCTGTGGGTCAGTCATCCAGATTCATCCCCTCGGTCGTCGTGGCCACCACTTGACTGGGGGGCACGTCGATCGTCGTTCCTCGGCGTCCACCAGCCTGGGCGCGTTCGTTCCGTTATCTGTCGTCCCTCGGTCCAATAGGGCCCCAGTAAGTTTTTAGGAGGACTCCAGCGGGATCCCACTGGGATTCCAGTCGGGTGCCAACGCGATCTTATTCGAGGAGCTCAGACTGTTCCAACCGCGTCCCAATAGGATTCCAATGATATCCCAATCGGAACACCACCGGGTTCCAATGATAATTCATGGGATCTTCCTAGGACCCCAATGGTATTTCAAAAGGAGCATTGCAATGGGACCACAACAGGTGCTAGAGCACTGCTAGTAGTAGAATGCAGTTCGTATTAGGAGAACGACTCGGTATTCATTGCATCTCGTAGTAGATTGCGGGTACTAGAATGCAGCAAGTGCCACAGCTCAAGTCACACTTCACTAACGTATAACTCGTATTAGAGTGCAAGTAGTACGGGTGTGCAATCATCACAGCCACTACACAAGTACGGCTAGATGACGGCTCGTACTGGAATGGAACGGGTATTCTCGTTCAAGTATAACAAGTGTATTGTAGTACAGCTAGTACTCGAGTGCAACTAGTAGTCAAAGTGCACTTGCTACTATTGAGAACAAGTGGGACTGATCATGCAACCAGCCTAGAGTCCAGCTGTGCATGCACTACACACAGTACTAGTTAACAGTCAGTAGTGACATGGACACTGCATTAGAGTGCGACGAGTACTACAGTATAAGTGGTAGACCAGAGTAGGGTAGAGTAGAGTAGAGCAACGTAGATATATCAGAGTAGTGTAGAGTGGAGTATTGCAGGGCAGAGCAGAACAGGTTATACTAGAGTATCTTATGATACCGTAGAGTAGGTTAGGGTAGGATAGGGTGGAGTAGAGTAGGGTAGAGTAGAACAACTCAGAGTAGAGTATATTAGATGGTAGAGTAGAGTTGGGCCTGATAGAGTCGAGTAGAGTCTAGTACAGTAGGGTAGGATGAAGTACAGTAGAGTAGAGGAGAGTATAGTAGGATCGGGTAGAATCGAGCATGATTACATCATATCCTATTAGGAGTCGAGTCGAGTAGATCAGCGTAGGGTAGGGTGGGGCAGGGGTATATCATAACATGGTAGAGTAGAGCAGAGTAGAGCAGAGTAGCTTAGGGTAGGTGTTAGAGCAGAGTCGGGTAGAATAGAATAGAGTAGAGTGGAGTAGAGCTACCCCAGTTCAGTCTAGCCTACTCCAGTCCAGTCTGCTTCAGTCCACTCCAGTCCACTTCGTTTCAATTTTCTTGTGTCTTTGGAGTCGGCGCTGGCTGGTATGAATTCGAGCCTCACGCTATGTGCAGGCTGCGCGGCTCAGGCGCCGTGCCAGCAGCTGAGCAGAGAGTCCGAGGAAGCTCTGGCTCAGAACGGGGCCCTGGGCTCGAGCGCGGTAAGCGATCCCGCCGCCCTGGCCGCGCCCTCGACCTCGTGCATGACGAGATTCGGGCTGGGGATAACGGGGGGGGGGAGTGAGTGCGCCTTGCACCAGACGGCGCGTAAGCAGGGAAAGAAAAGAAAGGGCCGTCGCCAGTTGCCTTCAGCGACCGCTCCAAGCCGTTACTGCCAGCTCCCAGTCGCGCACTGCACCGCCCTCAGGGCGGAAGTACTCAGCCAGGCGGGGGTGACCTGAATGGGGGGGTGACGTAAATGGGGGGTGACCTGAATGAGGGGTGAAGAAACGGGCCCTGCTGGCTCTGGAAGGGGCCTTCACGGGTCCCTTTAGGGTCCTTCTCTCCCCCCCCCATTCAGACCGCCCCCGGGATCGCGATGGATGAGGACGGCGGAGGAGGAGGAGGAGGGGGAGGAGGAGGAGGAGGAGGAGGAGGAGGGCGAGCGACGGCGGCCTCGCCGTCCCCATCGCTGCCCCCGGGGCCGAGGCCCCCGCCAGCAGCAGCCGCCCGCCCGCCGGCAGCGGCAGCGGCCTCCCGCGCGCCACGTGGGTGCGCTGGCTGCGCGCCACGAGCCTGCGGCGCCCGTCCTCGTCGTCCTCGTCCTGCTCGTACCATCCGCCCGGGATGGAGTCGGCGGATCGCGCCGCATCGCCGATGGACCTCCCCTTCCCCCCGCAGGCCCTGAAGCACCTGCACGAGCTGTCGGTGGTCCACAGGGACGTGAAGGCCGAGAACACCCGGGCGGCTGGCGCCACCCCCCGGGGCGCCGGTGGCACGGGGGGGGATGGCCTGCGACTTTCCTCCTCCTCCTCCTCCTCCTCCTCCTCCCTCCCCTCCTCCTCCTTCCTCCTCCTCCTCCTCCTCCTCCTCCCCTCCTCCTTCCCTCCCCCCCCTCCCCCCCTCCTCCTCCTCCTCCTCCTCCTCCTCCTCCTCCTCATCATCATCATCATCATCATCATCATCACCATCACCATCATCCTCCTTCTCCTCCTCCTCCTCCTCGTCGTCGTCGTCGTCATCATCATCATCACCATCATCATCATCACCACCAACACCATCATCATCGTCATCATTCTTATTCTGATTGTTATTCTTATTCTTATTCTTATTCTTATTCTTATTCTTATTCTTATTCTTATTCTTATTCTTATTCTTATTCTTATTCTTATTCTTATTCTTATTCTTATTCTTATTCTTATTCTTATTATTATTATTATTCTTATTCTTATTCTTATTCTTATTATTATTTTTCTTATTCTTATTCTTATTCTTATTCTTATTCTTATTCTTATTCTTATTCTTATTCTTATTCGTATTCTTATTCGTATTCTTTTCTTATTCTTATTCTTACTATTATCATCATCACCACCAGCATCATCATCATCATCATCATCATCATCATCATTCCTCTCGCCTCTAGCGTATTCAAATGTCTAGCGTTCTCAAATCTATGTGTGCTGCGTGGTCGACCACGCGCAGTTACCACCAGGGTCCCACTAGATGTTTGTTCGGCTGCGCCAATGTAGGTGGCGATGATGTGATGCACAATGCTGAGTGCCTGATTCCCGATCCTGTAATTTTAGAAGTACATCCGCAGTTTTCGGAGGATTATAGGTCCTTCCGAGGTCCCGAGCGCTTGTGTCCTCACATGCTTCCTGGTGATGTAGATTCGATCGTAAGCAGTGTGCTTGTTCTAGATTTGCTTATCACCGCGTATAATAAGGTTCGAAATTCAATGGAGGGACTGAAGGAGTCCGCCCTCCTCAAGGCGCGAGCTAAGGAGCTGGCCCAGAGGCATGGTGGGCTGCGTCGTGTACTGCAGGGAGGAAGCACGGGCTTGGGCTGAGGGCACTCGTCGTCGTTGTCGTCCTCCTCCTCCTCCTCCTCCTCTCCTCCTCCTCCTCCTCCTCCTCCTCCTCTGTGGGGGTGGGAACCATTTCTCCTCCTCCTCCTCGTTCTCCCCCTCCTCCTCCTCCTCCTCCTCCTCCTCCTCCTCCTCCTCCTCCTCCTCCTCCTCCTCCTCTGGGGGGTGGAAAACGCTCCTCCTCCTCTTCGGGGCGGCGGTGCGCAGTTTGGCGCCAGGCTTTCCGCGCTGAAGTTGCCGGGTCAGCAGGTGACTCAGCAGCTACACTGTTATTGGATTTGTTGAAATTCTACGATCTCATGCCGCTAGATATTCTGCACCAGCGTTGTGCTGAGTTTAACTTCCCTTTTGTTTTAGCTCAGCTAGCTATTGCTTTCGGTCGGATGCCTAGGTTCTTATCAATGTATGGTTTGGTCACGGGCCCTTATCACGCGACTCACGGTATTATCGCTTGCTGTTCCCTGGCTGCGACTCTTGTCCGTGTCTTCGTCATCAGAAATATCGGCAGAGCTGGCTTACCATATCATCAAGTACGTCTAGACATATGCGTAGATGACTGCGTCATCAGCGCTACAGGTAGGGAGTCTACTGGATTCGAGGGTCTCGTGAAAAGTCTTGGCCATCATTCGCGACGTCATTGTATCCGACCTGCACGGGCAGGTGTCTATCGAGAAGGCCGCGCTTGTTGCTTCCTTGTCCCAGCTGGCGGCCACGATACATGCAGAGCTGGGGAACCTGGACGGCGATCCGTGCAACTCAGCGTCGGATTTTGGAGTTGTCCATACTTGTGGCAGAGTCTATTGGTCAGACAAGAGGTCCAATACGTTTCAGATTCGATTGGCTACCCTTAAGAAAGTGAAACGTCTCCAGCATCACAAGAAGGTCCTGGGCCGCTTCCCCAACCGTATCTCTGTCTCGGGTCCTCTGCCTGGCTTGGTGCACGGGAGCGAGATCAGAGGTTTTGTTCGGACCGCGAGCTCGCCGTGGCAAGAAGATCCTTCGGAGTCACACGTCGACTGAGTGCCGGACAGCGCTCGCTCACCCCCCTCCTCATTCTCGAGCGAGACCCTCGCCGGCATGCGGCAGCTGGTCCGATCGTGCGGCAGTTGAAGCAGGCCAGGGCGGCCCAGCGCCGATCTTGCCCCTCCGGCCTCGCGTTCCATGGCTTCGGGAAAGATGGGAGGAGGTCCGGGAGCGGAAAAAGAGGGGGGCGATGACTAGGGGGGGGTGGATATCATGGCGGGGGCCATGATATTTCCTCATGGTGCCCCTTCTTAATTCATTGCGTCCCTGGCCCCCCCGCTGGGCCGCGCACATGCCGCCGGTCATGATTTGCACCCCCCCCTCTTGGACACCCCCCTCTTGGCCGCTCCCGAGAGGTTTTCGATGGCAGACCCGATCCTGGAGCCTGGCGCCGTGCTTCGGGGCCGACCTCTGCGATCAAGGTGCCGCTTCAGAGGATCGGCTGGCTCGTGGGATCCGTCGCCGAGCGGATGGACGGCTTTGGAGTCGCCGTCCCGATGGCCCCGTTCAGCCCCGCCTCTGGCAGGCGTTCTCGGCATGCTGCTGTTCTTCACTTCCCGAGAAGGCCAGTGCTGCTAGTCTCCTTCTCAGTTGAGTTCCACGCGTTTCACACCTCTGCAGAAAGGGGTGCGTCAAGGCAACGTTTTGCGGTTTTTGTTTGGACAAGACGAGATTGCTGCTGAGAGGGGATGCCAGCAGGCCGTTGCCCTCTGCGAGCTGTGCAGGGAGCCCCCCGACACGATGGTCCAGGGGCTCTTGTTTTGCTCTGCTTTTGAAGGCGAGCGCGAACAGTTTTTTTTTGCGAAGCTTGAGTATAAACGCCCCGACCTCGGCACACCCAACTGCCATGACAAGTCTGAGCTTTTGCGCTTTACCCGGGGCGTGTTCGAGCATCCGTGCGATACTTTCCCGAGGCCGGTGCCCGAAGGCGAGGTCCACGTGGCTTGGCCAGGCCGCGAGACCCGCGCGGATGTCGAGGCAAACGGGGGCTTCCATCTCGATGGCAGTTGCTTGCGCCATGTGGTTCCAGATTTGCAAAGGGAGATCAGGGATTTTCATGTTGCGATTCCGACCGGAGTGTCGCGTGTCACGCGAGTGCCCCAGTGTGGGCCCAAAATTCCCGACCTTTTCAGCTGCGGAGTTCCTGGCAATCCGTGCGGCTGGGCAGTTGGCAGTTTCCGAAGCCGGAGGCTTTTCGGATGGCCTCAATGTCGATCGACAGTTTAACATGCCTAGAAAAAGAGCAGCTTTGATATGCGCGTCCCTGCTTTGGAAGCCTTCAGCCCTCCATCTCACGGGTCTGATTTCGGCCGCAAAAGTCAAAGGACATGCTGTAGAGGACTCTGATATGTCTGACGAATTAGGATGCCACAGGTTCGGCAACGATGCAGCCGACTTGCTGACCATGAGTCCAGCGTCCCGCCGCCCAGCGCCCTCGGCTGAGGAGGCCGGAATATTGTTTCGCCAGCTGCGTATTCCGAAGCTTGTGTGTGAATTGGCGGGGTAGTTGCTTCCTCTTTGGCCGCGTCTGGATCTGTCGTCTGCCGAGTATCAGAAACTTCCAGTGCCATCCAAGCCGCGGCCCGATGGCCGCGCTTGGAGTTTGGCAAGGCAGGCTCTGGCAGGGTGAGCATTGTTACCGTGATCCCTGGGCCGTCTGGAAGCCTCCTCCTGGGGTCTGCCTCGAGGGTCCCGGGGTCGGGGTCTGCGGGTTCGACGGTCCGATGTTTTTGGGGCACGGCCACGCCGTGGTTTTTCTGTCTGGACGCCAGCGACCACTTTTTTATTTCTGTTTGCCGCCGCTGCAAGAATTACACCATCGGCGTACAAGTGCGAGGTCTCCGCCGAGAATGCCGCCCCCTCCCCCGATCGGGGGCCTAGGGCAGACTGCGCTCTTTGCATCGCATAGCCCGCGGCCTTCGCCCCACGCTCGATGGTGTTTCAGTCGACATCGGGCCTTGGTCGAGTTTTGACCCCGACTAGTCGGAACTTCTCAACTATCTCTTGTCTTCCGTTTGTGTGTTGTCTGATGTTCTAGGCAAGCCGGCCGCAGCGCCGTGCGGGGCGCGTGCTGTCGCGTGCGACTGTTGCCTCCAAATCCCACCGCCCCGAACAGCTGGTCGCTCGGAGAAGCAGGGGGGCTCGGGGATGCATCCCCTGAGTGTGTGTGTGTGTGTGTGTGTGTGTGCGTGGCTGCAGTCGAACGCACTTCAGTCGAGGACGGAGGCCCCCCCCAGCGTGGATTCCCGAGTTGGGCCCTGCAATTCTGGCCCAGCCGAAGACCACATCACGCTCGGAACGTGTGCCTCGCCGTGCTCCCCGTGGTGTGAAGGCCGCAGCGCTTCGCCGAACATTGGACCGGGCGTCGCGCGAGGCGGCCCGGGCCCCAGGGCGACGCTGGCCTTCGCAGGGAGGCCCGGGCCGCCTGCGGAGAAAGCCCCTGGGGAGCCCATGGAGGCCCCAAGATAGTGCGAGAAGCTGGCCGCACCTCCTCCTCCTCCTCCTCCTCCTCCTCCTCCTCCTCCTCCTCCTCCTCCTCCCCCTCCTCCCCCTCCCCCCCTCCTCCTCCTCCTCCTCCTCCTCCTCGGGGAGCCCACCGCTCGCAGTCCTCGGGGGGTGCGAGCGGAAGCGGATGTTGTCGCGCGCCCTCGAGCGGCGGCGCGCGGGCTCCGAGCGCCCCTCGAGCGTCGCCGCGGGCGCGTGGTCTGCTCGTGTCCTATCCGCCGGCCCCGCGAAGCTTTCTTTAAAATCGCGTCGCTTTCATTTTCTTAAAGGCCGCGTGCCCGCATTTGTGCGCGCGTGCGCGCGCCTACCGCGGCGTCGTGTGCGCGTCCACACAGCGGCTGGTGCGCCTCGTCCTCGCTGGTCTCTGAGCAGTCCGCTTTTGCACGTGCTCGCCAGTGGAAACTCTCGGGGTCACAGTCGTTGTTTCAGGAGGGAAAAACCACACATACATCAATTATCGTCGATTCCCCAGAAAGTATGGGAACATTATGAAAAGTGGGGGGAGTACGAACATCCAAAAATATGGGGAACCTTGGATTTGTGTCTATTCATTTGTGTGTCCCTGGGCCCCTTCAGTGATGTGGCCCTGTCGACGCATGTTTGCGATTCACTACGGTGCAGGTCGTTTCTCGCGACTGTGGTGTTGCATCGCCGGCGGAGGAAAAACCATGTTGGTGCGAGCTTCCGCGTTTGCGTGTGCGAGCGGCTTGGGGCTCGGCCTTTAGACGCTCGCGCGCCCTCTTCTTCGACCTTGCCACGCCCTGTCGCTGCGCGCGGGGCCGCAACGCGAAAAAGTGTGCGTTTGTGCGTGTGGAAGGAGGTCCTGCGCAGGACGCAGCAAGAGGAAGGACGGAGGAGTGAGGAGGAGGAGGAGAATGGAGGAGGGAAGAGGTGCGAGGACGACAAATGAGGAGGGCGATGGATTGGGGAATTCTGAAACGGACTGGATGGGGAGGGCGATGCTGTGATTTTTCGTGCGAGAATTCCCTGAAGTCCCAGCCCTTTCCCTAGAATTGTTTTTTTGTCCCGAGCCGTTTTTTGACGGTCCGGGGGCCTGGCGCGGGCCCCCCGACGCCGAAAGATGCCGAAGATCTTCCGTCGTGAGTCGTTCACGACGCGAATGGGGGACGACTGCGAGGTAGCGTTAGGCTGCATTTCCCAAGATCTTAACATCCGAGTCGGCGCTGGTGTATCCCTGGTCGAAGACAGGGTTGATCTGGCTTGATCGCGTTGAATCTGGCTTAGTCGGGCTTCGCTTGATTCCAGTGGCTCGCGCCATTCCGCAGGCACCCAGAAGGAGTCAGAGCTTGCGACGATCGCGGAAGTTATCGAAGACGCCTGCGGCGAACCACCGTCGCCCCCTGCCGCTTGAAAGAGCCTGCGTGGCAGAAAATTGCGGCCAGAGCTCGACCATGCCATCGGGCAATGTGTTTTCCCAGCCGTGGGAAAACGCTTCGGGGAACACGAGGGGGAGAAACAAGAACAGGCGGAGAGGTAGGAACAATGATGATGGTGATGGTGATGATGATGATGATGATGATGATGATGATGATGATGATGATGGTGATGATGATGATGACGATGACGATGACGATGACGAGAATGACGACGACGACGATGATGATGATGATGAGGATGGGGATGATGATGATGATGATGATGACGATGCTGCTGCTGATGATGATTGTGGTGGTGATGATGATGACGATGACGTGATGATGATAACGACGACGACGATGATGATGACGATGATGATGATGCTGATGATGATGGCGATTACGATCATGATGACGACGACGATGATGATGATGCTGATGACGATGATGCTGATGCTGATGCTGATGATGATGATGATGATGATGAATGATGATGCTGATGCTGATGCTGATGCTGATGCTGATGCTGATGCTGCTGCTGCTGCTGCTACTGATGATGATGATGATGATGATGATGATGATGATGATGATGCGGATGATGCGGATGATGAGGAGAAGGAGGAGACGCAGGAGGAGGAGGAGGAACTATTAATACTAATACACTTTTCAATACTATTATTGATACGAATAAGAAGATATCTAATAATACGATTAATAGTCATAACACTGAGATCGATAGAACTAATGTCATCATTACTAACTTTACCAACAATATTACCAAACGTAAGCCGAAAAATGACAATACTATTAATACTAATACTGATAATAATATCAATGATAGTTATGTTAACATTAACAATAGTACGACTATTAATATTAATATTGATAATACTCCTAATCGTACTAATAATAACACTAGAAACAATATTAGTAATAATAGTAGTAATACTAAGCATACTCATACTACTACTACTACTGCTGCTACTACTACTACTAATAATAATAATAATAATACTAATAATAGTAGTACTAATAGTAATAATAATACTAATAATCATCATAATCTTAATCATAATCATAATAATAATACTAATAATAATAATAATAATAATCATCATCATCATCATCATAATAATAATAATAATACTAATAATATTAATAATAATAGTAATAATCGTATTAATACTAAGAAGAAGAGGCCTCTTGATAACCTTTTGGGGTACTCTCCTGGCCTCCTGGCCTCCCGGGGCCTCTTGGAGGCCTCTCGGGGGCTTCCTTGGGCTTCTTGGGGACCTGCGGAGGCTCCTTGGGAGGTTCTTTGGCCGTCTGAGGGCGGTCCTGGCCCGTCCGACGCCGTCGGAAGCCGTCTTGTGGGCCTCTCTTGGCCGATTTGAGGCCCTCTTGGCGCGCTTCAGGGCCACCTTCGAGACCACCTAGGGCGTCTTGACGGTCTTCCGGGCCGTCAGAGGGCCCTCTTAGCGGTCGTCTCGGGGGGGCCTCTTGGGCCGTCGGAGGGGCATATTGGGGCCATTTTGGTGGCCTTCGGGCTTGTCTTGGGCCGTGTGGGCGCTGAAAGTGAGCACACGTAAACATCTGTCAACAGCCAAAGGGACAACATGGACTTTGACCTCTTCGGGCCTTCCTGGAGGACCTCCTGGAGGCCTCGTGGGGGCCTCCTGGGCCGTCTTGGGCCATTATGATGCCATCTTAGGCCGTCTGGGCTGCAAGTTTGGCCGTCTTGGAAGCATCTTGCGGCTATCTTGGGCCCTCTTGGGCCCATTTCGGCCGTATCGGAGGCCATCATGAGCATCTTGGGGGCTTCTTGGACCGTCTGTGGGCCCTCCAAGGGCCGTCATGGGGCCATCTTGGAGGCCTCTTGCGTAATCTTGGGGCGATCTTGGAGGACGGTAACAAAGTAGCAAAAGGACCTCTTGAGCCGTCTTGGGGGCCTTCCGGGGCGTCTTGGGCCATCTTGGGCCGTCTTGGATACATTTTGCTGCTATCTGGGGCTCTCTTGGAGCGCTGAAGAGCCGTCTTGGATGCTATCTTGGGCGTCTTGGACACCTCTTATGGCGTCTTGGGGCCCTCTTTGGGCCGTCTTGGGGACTTCTGGGGCCGTCGTGGGGCCATCTTGGAGGCCTCTTGGGCGACCTTGGAGCCTCTTCGGTGTTTTGGGCCGTCCGAAGGCCATTTTGAAGCAAATGCAGAAATCTTTGAAAAACCATGAGGGTAATCACCGATTTTGGCATCTTTGGGCCTTGTTGGGTGACCTCTCGGAGGCCTCTTGGGCCTTCTTGGGAGTCTCTTGGGCGCTTCTTGGACATCTGGGGGCTCGCTGGGACCATCTGGGCGGTCTTGGAGGCATCTTGGGACCATCTTGGAAGCCATCTTGGGGCTGTCTTGGGCTCTCCTGAGGCCATCTTGGCCGCCTGGCAGGCCATCTTGGTCGTCTTGGAGGCCATCTTCAGGCCAACTTGAGCCATGCAGGAGCGAGAGAGGCAACCATCCGGGCAATTTGAGGGTGGTTCCGGGTGGCTGGCGCTCTGTGCAGAAAGCCTCAGGGGAAGTCTTAAAAAGAACGAAAAACCATTCGAACCTTAATGGTTCTTCGTTCTTTTGAAGACTTCCCACCTTTGGTCGGCTGCCACGGGCATGTGGTCATCTCACCGTCCGCATGCATCAGGCCCCAGGACCCTTCGGAGCCTCCAGAGTGCCCCCCCCCCCAAAAAGAACCATTCGAACCTTAACACGCCGGGCACCCTTAGGCAAGGCCACAGGGGGCGGTGGATCTAGTTGCCTTCTGCCCACCCGCCACTGTGCCTGGGCTGTGGGTCAGGAGCTTCTTGGATGAAGATGAGGGTCTCTTGGGATGCCTCTCAGGGGCCTCTTGGAGGGCTCTTGAGTGTATTTGGGAGGCTTTTGGGGCCTCTTGGGAGCCTCTTGGGGGCTTCTTGGGGGCGTCTTGGAAGCCTCTTGGGGCTTCTTGGGGGCGCGGCGGCTTGTGGGCGGCTCTTGGGGCCATCGATGGGGTAAAGGCTCGAACTATCAGTTTGTACTCCCTCTCTTGGGCCCTCTTGGGCCCTCTTGTGGCTCTCTTGTGCCGTCTTGGGGGCCCTGGGGCCTTCTCCGGGCCGTCTTGTGACGATCTTGGGGGTCCTGGCAGTCTTAGAAGCTGCCGAGAAGGAAACGCATGCACGTTTTCCACAGGGATTGGGACGGTTTTTACCTCTTGGGGTTTCTCGGTGGTCCTCTCGGAACACTTTTGAGCCGTCTATGGGGCCTTGTGGGCCGTCTTGGAGTCATCTTGGGTCGTCGTGGGGCTACTCTGGGCCGTCTCGATTCTTTCTTCGATTGGCTTGGCGCTCTGTCTGGGCCCTCTTTGGCTTTTTGGAGGCTCCGGAGGCTTCAGGGGTGCGTTGACGAGCTTGTCTCCCCACCCCCCACCCCTCCCACCCCCCTCCCCTCAAACGGCATTTTGGACCCCAGGGGAGGGGGGACGAGGGAGGGGAACAGCCAAATGCACGCCTGTTCACCCCCGGTAAGCGGAGGTCGGCGGATTTACTCCTGGGCACAGTCCGGCCTAATCTGGCTCAGTGGCCACTGCATCTGGCTTGATCTGGCGAAGATTTCCCGTGAGTTGTCTCCTACGTGGTGGGGTTGTGGAGGCGCCCGCCGCTGTCGTGGCGGCCCCCGTTCCCTGGGGGGCCGGGCGGGTCCTGCTGCAGTCGAGCCCCGCCAAGAGCGGCTCGTGGCACATCAAGCTGGTGGACTTCGGCCTTGCGACCAAGGTGGCCCCGCGCCTCGGCTTTGGGCGCTGGCTCGAGACTCGCGGGCCGATCGGTACGATCGGAGCGGGGCGTTTCAGAAAGGGCCTCGCCTTCGAGGGATCGAGAGGTTGCCCGCTCTTCATGGGCGGAAGGCGGTGGGAGGGCGGCGAAGGCCAGCAGAAGTACAGCGAGGCCGCCTCCGCCGGCGGAAGCCTGCGGAAGCCGGCGGGAGTGCGCGATAGTTTTGGGAGTTCCAGTGCTTCCGGAGACGGCCACACGGGTACGGAAAGAAGAGTGGGGACGAAGAGCGGCAGGCAGTTCCGGACCAATTTGGAGCAGGAGTCGCTGTCGGTGTCGCCGCGGACGTTGTCAGGGGCAACGTGAGGGCGGATATAGGCTCAGTGGGGATGCGTCGACCCCCAATCGCCCATTCATCGCCGATATGGGGCCTGATGTCCCATCCCGCCTGGATTCGCTATCGGGGATCTATCGCCGATCTATCGGCGATGCATCTCCGATTCCAGGTCTATGTTCTCCCCCTGAGCCAATCCCCTTCTACCGTTCGCCCTCACAAAGCAAGAACGGGGACGAAGATCGACAGGCAGTGCATGCCCAGTTTGAGCAGGGCTCGCTCTCGGCGTCGCCGCGGGCGCTGCCCACCGGGAAGGGAACGACGCTGGCCCAGCAGCGGCCGCGGTGAGCTCTGGACGCCACTCGCCGCTTGGCTCTGTGCCCCTGCTCAGACGTCCCGCTGCTCTGCTCTCCCGAGGCCCAGCGGGGGCCCGCGGAGGTGGAGCACGGCCAGACGCCGGCGCCGCCCGCTCCAAGCTGCGTTGGGAGCGCCGGACCTCTGGGCGTGCCCGCGCCTCCCTCCCCTCGCTGCCACGTCGGGCGTGCCCAGGCGAGGCGTCTGGATATATACTCCTGCTCGGCCGCCCGCGGGGGGCGCGCGACGCCAGCGGGGGGCCTCGCCTCGCGCGTCCGGGCCGGGGCCGCTGAGGGATGCCCGCCTCCCGGGGCGGCGCGCGAGGGTGCGAAGGCGGTCGCGCGCCGCGCGTCGCGGGGCGCGAGGCCAGACCACCCCGAGTCGTGAGCAGAATCTCTCGACGGGAGGCTCTGGGCCGTGCTTTCGGCCCGCGGGGGCCCTCGCTGGGCCTCTGGGCCGTCACGCAACGACTCCGGCTGAGAAGCCCGTCCTCCTCCTCCTCTTCCTCCTCCTCCTCCTCCTCCTCCTACTCCCTCCCTCTCCTCCTCCTCCTCCTGCTCCTCCTCCCCCTCATCCTCTTTCCTCCTCCTTCTCCTTCTCCTCCTCCTCTTGCCCCCTCCCACCTGCCCCTCCTGTGGAACGGGGGTCGATGTGATGAGAACAAATCATGCTGTCGGGGCACTGGCAAGTTGGTGACCCTAAGTTTTGGACTCCCGCGCCTTCGTCGCCGTGGTTGGGCCCGCCTCGAGATCCTGGTGGGAGCGAGCCCCAGGACAGGTCTGGGCGGTCGCGTGGTGGTGATGGGCGTGGAGGTTTTCCCGCTGAGGCGGTCGCCTCACAGACTTCGTTACTGACCCGCCTAGAGGCCACACGGAGCACCCTGCCCCCAGCCAGGCAAGACAAGGAAGTGCCCCGGATCTCCGTTGTGCGCATTGGTAGTGTGCCGATTGGTGCGGAAGCAGCAGAGGCCACCACCACCACTGACCGGTTGAGCAAGGACGACCATCTCGATGAGGATGTCCACGCTTGCGCGCGGCGCTACCACGACGACCGTGATCGTCTGAGCGAGGGTGACCTTCATGACCTGCTGGGGTCAGCACAGGCGAGACAGGCGACGCGACCGTCGAGCATCTCTCTGTCGGCCATTCGGCGTCGCTCGTTCCGCCGCTTGATCGACTCCTGGGACCCTCCTCCTCCTCCTCCTCCTCCTCCTCCTCCTCGTCTTCTTAGTGGTCTTCCTCCTCATCTTCCCCCCTTTTCGCCTCCCACTCCGCGAGACCAGCCCCCCCAGGCGGGCCCTGCCTCCCTTTTGGGCGCGATGGCCCGCGCTCTCTATTCCGCTGGCTCGTCGTCACCCTCCTGTCTCCCCGTCCGCTCCTCTCCCGAGCGACCGCAGGCCCCACCGCCCCATCAGGTCGAGGCTGCACGGAGGGAGCTACAGGCCTGGTCCGACCTGCAGGGCTAGGCGCCCTCGTGCTTCCCTCCCTCTTTTTGTGCTCTTCCTCTATTGTCCAGAGCTTAGAGCCACGCGTACTGAGCACAGGGAGCCCCCTCATGCCTGCGTTGCATCATCACCCCGTCCGCTCACAGGTTGTGCCTCGCGCGCACGGGTGTGCTGGTCATTTCCATGGGTCCATCACAGGTTCAGTGATCGCCAACAGTCCATTCTTGAATCAGTCCGTTTTTTGTCCTCAATCAGCCAGATGAGCCAGCGACTCGTTCAACACGCTGCGAGGGGCCACAGCAAGGCGTTTTCTGACCACCTCCAGCTCACACGCCCGACGTTCAGGCGTGTCTTTCAGCAAGCACCACGGTCTTTGGGCTGCTGTGCCATGACGGCCTCATGTCGAGCCTGGCTCGGCCCCGGTGCCCCTCGACGCCCAGGTGATCCCTGGAAAGGTTCCCTTGGGCGTCCTGGGGCCTCGTTGCCCGCCCTGACATCCAACGCTGCGAGGAGGTGCAGCATCGCCGGAAGTAGCGACCAGCAGCGCCATTCTCTCCATCTTGCTGCGGCATGTCTCGGGCCACATCGATCTGCGAGAGCTCCGGGGCCCGAAGCCCGCACGCGAACGCCCCGTGCGACAAACAATGCGACGCCAGGATGTTAGGGGAGGAAGTGTCTTTCCCTTCGCGCGCGTGGAATCGAGCAGGATGAGGAGAAGCAGGAGGAGGATCACTGCCCACAAAGGGACGGAGTCCAGGAGGGAGAGAGGGGGGGTCGTCCTTCGAAGGAGAACTGCTTGTTCCCACGCGTGGGTTCCATCTCCGCTGCGTGGGATCAGGGGAAGGGGGAGGGGGATGGGGAGGAGGAGGAGGAGCAGGCGGATGATGATGATGATGATGATGATGATGATGATGATGATGATGATGATGATGATGATGATGATGATGATGATGATGATGATTATGATGATGATGATGATGCTGATGATGATGATGATCGAGATGATAATGATGATGATGTTGAGGATGATGATGATGATTATTATGATGATTATGATGATGATGATATGATGATGATGATGATGATGATGATGACGATGATGATGATGATGATGATGATGA